TAATTTCTGCTAAAATAAATCAACCCAATAATTTCTGAATAAAAGCCTTAATTTACTTGTTAGGGAGCTCTAGTAGCCTAGTGGTAAGAATCTGCGCTTCAATCCAGAAGCCACAAGGTTAAAATCCACCAGCTGCTCCGTGGGAGAGGGATGCGTAATCTCCTCCTGTGAGACTGATTAATGGCCTCTGAAAATCCACAGGAGGGTCAGCTTTGGGTGAGTTCTGACTCGATGGTATACTACTACAACAACAACAACAGCAACAATAATTTACTAACTCTATTAAATATTTGGTCTGAAAATTATCTAGTTTTTCTTCTTTGTCAGTGTTTGCATACATAAGTATCAATTACTGTAAATAGTACTCACAGAAAGAATACTAACGGAAAGAGTTGTAGTTGACTCTACAGCATTTAACAAAAAATCTAGCACTTGATAACATATTCCTTATTAACAAAAACAAATGTAGTATTTATTACAGAGGGGCCATCTGAAACACTTTAAGTAAAGCAACATTTTTTGGTCTTAAGTAGAAAGCCTGGATTTAGTCCTAATAATACCACTCAATCGATGTTGTTAAAATAGAATTTCAAAGTTGTTAGGTTTAAAAAAAGTTATTTATCATGATAAAAAAAACTGTAATAATAAATTTAGAAACTATCCTGCTTGGAAGGGTGGAGGGAAAGTGCAGGAGAGAAAGACTCTGGATAAGATGGATTGACACAGTAACTGGAATAATGGGGGTAGGTGTGTTAGAGTCAGTGAGACTGGCTCAGGACAGGGCAGGCTTCAGAGCTGCTGTACTATGGTCACTATAAATTGCAGGTACCTTGATGGCACATAATAACAACATGTGATAGTATGCTAATATGTGAAATAATACATTAATATTATTTGTATTCATGCGTAAGGGATTTCTGGTGACATTAATAGTTGTAAGGAGTTGTGCTTCCAATCAGGAGGCATGTAGTTCAAATTTACCATGGGAGAATCCTGTGTGATTTACAGTTTATGAAAACCACTGGAAGCTGCGGGTCAGTAACAACTCCATGAGACTAACAACAAAAATAACAACTGATTTATTAATTTGTATATACATATATATAATTTATTATTGTTACATACCTTTGAGGCAGAACTCACTCATAGCTGACCCCTGCCAGTGGAATTCCAAAAATATACAGGTGGAGGACATAGATGGATAGATAGATAGATAGAGAGAGAGAGAGAGAGAGAGAGAGAGGGCATGCACAAGCGAGAGAGTGCAGGAGAGGGTGAGCAATCTGCTCCTGTGTGATTAACTACCTCTGAAAACCTACTGGAGAGTCAACTATGGGTCAGTTCTAACTCCATGGTCCACAAAACAATATAGATATATATAGATTGATAATAGAGATATAGATGATTGATTATAGATAGATGATAGATAGATAGATAGATAGATAGATAGATAGATAGATAGATAGATAAAGATGACAGATCTGAGTTTTGTTAGCATAATCAATAGAAAGTTACACTGCTACTCAGAAGATAGTACTTCTCTAACAGTTGGCACCCATCCCTGCAAGAGAAAATTTTGCCATCTCTTTCCATTCAAGTCACAGCTTTAAAACATGCAGAAGGGTCAGCTCTGAGTATGTTCTGACTCAATGGCCATGAGTAAATAAGTAATATTTATATTTGACATGTACATAAAGAATCAGAAGTAGAAGGGGGTTAAAAAAATCACAGCAGTGTTTATTTTATTTACAAGCAAAGAAAATATTTCATAAGTCTTCTTTCATAGTTTTTGAGGGTGAAATAATAAAAAGTGAAATATCATTAAGAAAAATTATAATTATAAATTAATTTTAAATTATTACACTTTTATTATTCAATAATATCATTAATGTTGTCTTTATTTACTGAGATTTTTAGTCATTTTTACAAAAGTAGAAGCATTGGTTTCCTCATGATGTCAATCATTCTCATCATATTTTTGTGCCTAAAGTCTTAGAATTATCTTAATCATGATTTCTCCTACCAAGAAGATATTAGAAGCAATTAAATGTCCTCCCTGGAACCTGGATTATCTCTGTGTCTGTGGGATGACTGTTACCTTTCCGAGGCCTCCAGTTGTTCATCTGCCAAATAAAGGGATTAGTCATGATCATCACAAAAGTACTTTAATGTTCTACAACCTGAATTTTCGAATTGTAAGTCATTGCATTGAGTGTCAACTAGATTTTTAATAATAAAACTTGTGAATATTTTGAATGCTTGTATATTTTAAGAATGTTACTAAATTTATTAAGTAATACTTATCCACACTAAATATCTAAAATCTGTACTGTATTTGTTTGGGAAATAAAATTTTTGAAAATGACAGTCATCTCATTCTAAATTTCAACTCTTGAAAATCCCATTTCATCTGCTTTATTTCTTCCTTTCTCAGTTTTCTTCATCAGTTTGCAAACCACCTATCATTTTTTTTACTAAAAGGAAAACATCATGAAACACTGCTTAAAACTCCCAATTACATATCAAATTCTGCTCCATAGCTAATAACACCTGATATATCAGCCACTTATTTAAATTTGTTGTTGTTGTTGTTGTTGGTCTGTGCCACCAAATCACCTGCAACTCAGTGTGACACTTTATACAACAGCTCTGGTCCCTGCTCTATCTTGAGACAACTTCTTTGTCTCTGACACACCTACCCCTATTACCCCAGTCACTTGAGTCAATCCATCTCATCCAGGGTTTTCCCTTCATTTTTTTTATTATTATTATTAAATTTTATTAGTTTGAATGAACATTTACAGAGA